GAATGTATCCACTAATGCAGTGGGTCTCAACCTTCCTAATGCCGTGACCCTTTAATACACTTCCTCATGTTGTGGTGACCCCCAACCATAAAATTATTTTATGTTTTACATATTTTTTCAAAAATATGTGTTTTCCGATGGTCTTAGGTGACCCCTGTGAAAGGGTCGTTCAACCCCCAAAGGGGTTGCGACCCATAGGTTGAGAACCGCTGCATTAATGCACTTTTCTATGTCTGTGGTCAGTACTTTGGAAAATTGCACCCTTTGAAGAGATTGGGAGAATTGCAACAGCTTCAAAAGTGCAGCCATTTCAAGAAAGGTACAAGGCAATTTCTGCAGTAAAGCATTGGCTAGGCCCTCTTTTGGAAAGTTGTTCTTTCAAAGAGATAAGTGAAGCAAGGCATGCTGGGAAGCAAAACAGATCTAAGACCTCTGCAACTAGGCAGAGCAGAAAGGGTGGGGGAGATAAGCAGGTGGGTGTAACTGCAGTGTCCATACAGTTGGTCATAAGGGTGGGCAGATTGCCAAGCATCTAAATTTTCATCACATGACTATAAAGGCATTGCAGCCATAACTTCAAATACAGGCCCATGTCTCTTTTGTTCAACATTTTTGTAATTTTGAACTGTCACTGAATTATTGTCCATAAATGAAGGATTACCCCAATAATTAAAAATAATTAAAAACATGCAGCATAGCCTCAAAAACAAAAGTAGTTAATAGCAAGATGATTTCAAAAAAGCTAAAGCACTCAAGATAATAGCAATATAGCAATAGCAGTAGACTTATATACCGCTTCATAGGCCTTTCAGGCCTCTCTAAGCGGTTTACAGAGAGTCAGCATATTGCCCCCAACAATCTGGGTCCTCATTTTACCCACCTCGGAAGGATGGAAGGCTGAGTCAACCCTGAGCCGGTGAGATTTGAACCGCTGACCTGCTGATCTAGCAGTAGCCTGCAGTGCTGCATTTTAACCACTGCGCCACCTTGGAGAATAATGATTTTGGGCCTCGAGTGAAAACTCGAGCTGTTTGACAATCCTTTTGTTTTCCTGGCTGTCCATGTTATTCTTAAGAATTTTCTTCAACACCAAAGTTCAAAAGCATTAATACTCTTCCTGTCAGAGCCTCCACAATTCTGATCTTTGTGAGTATCAGAATATCTTTTCCAAGGCTTTCATGGCTGCTTCATCAATGGCTAGTTTGCAGTTTATTTCTCAACTATTTATTCCTTTACTTGAGTAGGCTATCTAGCATTTAATATTGTCATTATCAGTTCTAAGACTGTTCTACCTATTGTCAGTTTGGTCTTCTTTGCATTTAATTGTATTTTAATTTTTTCACTTTGTTCATTGATTTTTATTACTAAAACTCGTAATAATATTTAGATGTTGCTGGATGTTGGGCAGTATATGTATTTAATAAATTATTATTATTCATTAAGCATTGTTAAAACACATATTCCCTCAAATATACTGATTAGGTGGAGATGATGAATAGGACAAGAAACAGCATTTTTGTTGTTGTCGTTGTTTAACTCGAAGACTGACACCTGATTGGATTTGCTAATTTTTAAACTTGATCTTTCTTTTGCCAGCCTCTCCTTCCATACCAACTCTGGTTACTTTCTGCTTCCAGAGATTTATCCTACTGAAATATAGATTCCAAAGTCTTTTATATAATTTCTGCCCAACAGGAAATGAACAAAAATATCTATTTAAACAGCCACATTTTTAAAATTTGCACTACATCGTTTTTAGGAAGATGAACTCCTCTGAATACAGTTCATACAATTGAAGTAAATATTTTTTGTGTAGAACAAAACTCAACAAACCTCATTTCCCATTAGTTGTGTGTGTTTTGAAACACCAAAATGTTATTTCCCTAGTTATTGTTGAAGTATGAGAAATAAATTGTTTTAAAAGTTTAAACTTCTGTGATACCAGCAGATCTAAGAAAAGGTAAGCCTTGGGTGCTGCTGATGAAAAATGAATTAGCCTGTTTTCTTACCATACAACATGTGTCAATTCAGGAAATTCCTTAAAATTTTAGCATTAACTAAAATTATTTTCATACTAAGTTACTAAAATTATTCTAATACTCATAGTGGCTAAATGCAATTGTGCTTATCTCACCCCAAATGGTAAAACATAGCCATAACTTTGTATCTTTTCAAAGCTTGTAAAAATACTAGCTTTTAGAAGCAGCAAAATAATTCAAACTCTAGTTTATATACACTTCAGATTTAAGTTGCATTAATTTTCTTCAGTATTTGTAAAGCTAAGTAGTAGTACAAAAATCACTTTTGAAAATTTATTAATAATATGTGTTACCTAATTATCCTTAATCCCTAATTTTCTCCTTATTGGTTGAAAACCCCACCATAACTGAGGTCCAAAGATTTAATGTAATGTAAAAAAAAATAGTCTCATGTATTTTTAAAATGCAAAAATATTTATCAGCTGTTACCAGATATTTCATTGTTTTACATCAAACTACACCTCAAATATTAACATTCAGGCTGAATTATTTTGTTTCAAAATTTGCTGTTTCAATAGGTAAATACAGTGTTGTATTTCAACACCTTCAAATATTGTGAAGGTGCTGATTTAGGAGAAGGGAATGAAAACCCAGGTTCTAGTTTAGTCATAAAACCTCAGTCAGTCTCTCTCAGCATAACTAGCTTGCAGGATTGTTGTGGAGAAAAAAGATTGTGCTGGTAACTTCTGGTCTGGATAGAAATGTATAAAATGCCAGAGATCAAACTTAGGGCTAAAATATTATGCAATTATAATGCAAGTGCATGATTCTAGAAACAGCATAATTATATCACCAAAAGTTGGCATAGATCTGCCAAGGGAAAAAATCTTGTCAGATTTTCTTTCCCAGGCACTGGGTACATTAAAGCCATCTATTAGGGATGCTTAAAATTGGACCGCACCGAGCAGGAAGTTGGATTCAGTGGCCGCAACAGTCCTTCCAATTCTGTTAGTTCTATCATTGACCAATAAGCCCTTCAAAACTGCTATCCTTTATGATGATTAAGTAGTATGGCTTTTTTTAAAAAAATACTGCTTGCTAAATCTGATCTACAGAAAATGCTATACTATACGATAACTTATATACTGCTTCAATAACTTATATACCACTTCATATGCTTTGCAGCCCTAAGCATTTTATAGAGTCAGCATCAGAGGTGGGTTCCTCCTAGTACAGTACTGTATGCCAGAAGAGGTAGTGAGAATCTGATGTACCGGATAGGATCAGTAGTAATGATGGCTTGGCCACAGCCCCGAATCTGTTCTCCCATCAGAAGCTTCGTCAGAAGCTTTTTTTAAAAAAGTTGTTTTCTCCTGCCAGTTCAGGCAAGGGGGAAAAAGCTTTAAAAGAGAGAGGGGGGAGGGAAAGAAAAAGAAACTTACTTTTTAGCCGGGAGATTCAACAAAGGAGAAAAACATATGCTGTCACTTTAAATCACAACTGAGCATGCCTGGCTGTGGCATGGCTGTGAAATTCTGGGAATTGAAGTCCACAACTTTTAAAACTGCAAACTTTGCTTTAAATTGAAAAGCTGCTTGGAAGGAGGGTTGCAAAGTGACATTCAGGAGTAATTTTTTTGGGGGGAAGGGCTGCTTCCAACAGAGGGAAGGGAGAAAGAAAGAAAGAAAGAAAGAAAGAAAGAAAGAAAGAAAGAAAGAAAGGAAGGAAGGAAGGAAGGAAGGAAAAACAGTACAGCAATTTAGGGCTAGAAGTCTACTAGGAGGTCATCTAGTCCATCCCCCCTGCTGCAGCAGGAAACCTTACATTGCCTAGATTATTTTGGTGCCTCTAAGAGAGAGGGAAATTGCCAGAAAGGAGTAGTAGTTTACTAGGACAAGACTGCCATGCAGAGGAAGGCAGAGATAGTCCTTGACTTATGACTACAATTGAGCCCAAAATTTTGGTTGCTAAGCAAGAGTGTTGTTATGTGAGCTTCACCATATTTTATCCAATCCATGACATCTCTTGCTGAGTGACATCAAGTAAGCCACACCCACCCAGTCACATGACCGCCAAGCCATGCCCACAAAATAGGTCACACCCACAGAATAGGTAGTAAAAAGTTTTGAAACCCATCCCTGGTCAGCATATGGTATTTCCCCCAACAATCTGAGTCTTCATTTTACCAACCGCAGCAGGATATAAGGCCGAGTCAACATTGTGCCTGTTGAGATTCAAACTGCCAAATTGCAGGCAGCCAGCAGTCAGCAGAAGTAGCCTGCAGTACTGAATTCTAACCACTGCGCCATCACGGCTCTTATATTGTTATATATAAATTTTGTTATATACCAAACAGAAGGTATATGATAACAATATATGAAACTTCTGCTTGGCATAACAATATTTCTATGATGGTGTATATTAATTTAAAAGCTATAATATGAAATGAGAACACAATATTTTTTGACTAACCAGTTCTGAACCATCTTAACAAGAGTTTAACAGCATAATATAAAAATAAGGTTATGAAACAGCTCAGTCAAAACTTCTAAACAGCAATTTTTCCAAATAAGAGATTGACTAAGTGAAATTACAATTGCTTCTAGCCACTTGTTCAGCACAATTCCACATTGCATGAACAAAATAAATGATTTTTCATTTCTTCTCCAGATATTTCCAATTGTTAAATAAGTCAGGCTCAAAATTGAGGCTTGTAATAAATCAACATGAACATTTTATATCTCACATTGCTCTTAAATATGGAATAAGCAAATCATGATGATCTCAAGTTGAGATGATTTAAAAAACAGTTGTTTCATTAAAAGTATGTCCCAAACTCTTATAACCCCCAAAGAAAACAGTGAAGAAAATGTATGAAATAAGCATGCTTAGATTTGTGTGTGCACCTCCCTATTTATACGTATTGTATAGTTAAATATTTAACTTCAAATAACCTTTAAAATACCAAATAGCACAATAGACACATTTATTTAAAAAAATGATAACTGCAAAATATGAAAGTAACCTTTTAAAGAGTTTTATTCAAAGTCAATATTTGTTTCTTTAATATATTATATAAATGTATAAATAATGTCATTTCCAGAGTTCTGCTTTAATAGTATGAATCAGTTGGTATGCATCAATTTTACAATGCCAAATTTTTACAAAAATGAAGATATCAGAAAGGATAGTTTTATTGCATTAAAAACACTGGACTATGAAAAGTTTTTTAAAAATCAACTGGAATTAAGGGTTGTTTTTATACAATTTTATGCTTTTATGGTTAGAATTTCTAACATTCTGCCCAAAATATTTAAAACTATTTTAACATGCCTTGATGCAAACACTGTTCAAAGTCAGAACTGAATTCTCAAATTTTACCTGAGTTTCTTATACTGTATATTGTAACTGATGTATTTCAAGTTGATGATTCAGTTTTTCAATGTATGCATGCAAAGCAAAAACTTTACACAATCTCCTAGAGATAACTATTTAGGTGTTAAGCTACCTCAGATTGTCCCACCCCAAAATTAGATAGTAGAAATTAGACTTTGACAAATCCTGTAAAAATGGGAATTAAACCTGGGAGTCCCATTCACAAGCATTGAGGTTTTTAATCAAGATGCAATAAAAGTTCTTTTCATTGCTTTCCTAGTCAGTGATCCATTCTTTCATTTACCTTATCAATACATTTTTGAGGGACAGAAGCCCCAACCACCAGACTGTATGAATTCAGTCACAAAATTAGCCAACCCAGTTATATAAACATATAATTTAAAATTTACAGCGAATACTTCTTTAGAAACAACTATATCAATTGTTTCAAAAAAGGCTTAAGTTACTTCTCCAGAACAGTTTTTATATTGTATACCCAACAGATTTGGCACTGTTAACTGATTTGTCAAAAAAAAAAAAAAGAATGAGGTGGATCTAAAGAATCAAAACGTGATTCTCAGAAAAGAAACACATTTGTACTCTTCAAGAGCAAGAGTTTCATTAAATGCACACAACATCTATAATGCCAGCTAAAGGCTTTTAAGGACTCATTCCCTATATGATCAAAAGAGAAATGAATACATGCAAAAGAATTCATGCATATTTAGAGGAAACTTCCACAATGAAGTTAAAAGTTTGTAAGCGTTGTTATTCTTAATGCTAGTTTGTGACAAGTATTTGTGAACATCACTGCAGCTTTGAATGATCTTGAAATCACTCTATGAGGTAGTGTAGTTTTCTGTAATACATGCTGGTTGTTAGTAGCACTGTTTGGATGGTGTATTTGGCCAAATATTTACTATATAGATTGACACTATATATTAGAAATACAAATTTACTTTTCTAAAGGCTAAATTGGTTGCTAAATTTAACCAATATCTGAGCATACCAGAGAAGATTGAAGGGTTCTCAAATAGTAAATATGCTAGGCAAAAAGTTGTCACAGAAAGATGATTGTGTTCCAAACATAGTTACAAAAACTTATATGTTCTGAGGTAGGAAACAAAGAATTCCATTGGCTTTAAAATTTTGTAAACCAGAAAAAGTACTTGAGGTTCGGTAGATAAAGCTTCTATTATTAAGAGCACTATACTATTACAGAATTTATACAGACTTTCTGTAATTAATACAATGCAGTACTGGCTACAGTAAAATGTTCTAATTGCTTATTTTAGTAGTTAAAATTATTGAAGCTTTAAAGTGGCTTATTTTTATAACTGAACTATAAGCTACTGAATTTGAACAGCTACAATTAGCTTTACCCATAAAAGTAATTTATTTAAAAGAGGATTTTTCCAACATGCTGAACTTGGTCCCATAATTAATAATAAAAGTTAAAATCCTTCCAGAATATGTGATCATTTCATTTATCCTTATGAAAACCACATCAAACTTTAAGTAGGAAGCACAAATTAACATAGTCTATTATAAATATTTTCATCTAGAGATCATGGAAGGACAGCAAGCTGTCAAGATTAAGTACATCTCTAGCACAGTGACCTAATATTCTCAAAGATTGGAATTATCAATAAATGTGAAGTAGTGGATGAAACAAATGTTACTGCCTTCCATGGCACTGGATATCTGGAATAATAAAACTACGTAGATTTCTTTCTTTTACACTAAGTATATTGCATAATTTTTACATGTCATTAGAGAAAAGCCCATAATTACATTTAGGTTTGTTTGAGGGTGATATGAAATGCAAAATTAATGCAGCTGCAGTTCTACCTTCTTACATGAAGACTCAGGCCTCAATCATGCTAGGCTGAATTTTAAAAAGGATTATTCATCTGTAGTGCATTTATCAGTCATTTGTTGACAAAAATCTGTGATACCACTTCCACTCTGCACACACTGTTCCAAGCACAGTGTTTTCTCTGATATTCTTACAGGAACTGGACATAATTCTTGTGCTTGATCATATCCTGCATCATAGCCTCCTTTCATATGTTGATAGCTAGAATGTTGATCATTAGATGATATAACAGAAAGACCAGCAGATAATTCAACACACAATGGTACTGTAGATGAGATATCAGAAGGTGCTGCTTGTTCCCTCTCAGGAACCAAAAATGAAAGTGGACATTCAGAGGCCGAATATTTTGCAAGAATCTGGATTTGCTCATGACTCAATGCTGCTTCCTTGAATACTTGCTGGCAAAGTCCTGTTAGATTCTGTTTTGTCTCAGCCAGTGTGGACAAAATGTGATTTTTTTCCTTCAGTAAGTTCTCTTTTTCATTTTGCTGCAAGAAAACAGAGAAGTTCTGAGTTTAGTACTGAAATATTGGGTTTCCACTAAAGCAGAATTATATTTTAGTTTGTTTTGGATTTGAAAACAGTGATAATAAAGATTGCTTGGAGTACAGGTAGTCCTTGACTTATGACAATTGAGCAAAAAAATTAAGGTTGTTAAGTGAGATATTTCTTTAATGAATTTTGCCCCATTTTATGACCTTTCCTGCCATTGTTGTTAAGTGAATCACTGCAATTAATAAGTTGGTAACATGGTTGTTAAGTGAATCTGATTTTGACAAGCATTGATTTTGCTTGTCAAAGGGTTGCAAAAGGTGATCACAAGACCTTGGGGAACAGCAACAGTCATAAGTATGAACTAGTTGCTGAGCAGCTGAATTTTGATCACATGATCATGAGGATGGCTGCAAAGGTTGTTAAGTATGAAAAAGACACTTTTTTCAGTGCCATTGTAATTTTGAAGAGTCACTAAATGAAGTTTTATATTGAAATACTTTCTCAATAAACCAATGTCATAATATGGAGCAAAGGCACTATTTCTTGTTTATATCATATTTAGTATATTATTTTAAAATGTGATGAAGCTTTTGATTAACAACAAAAGCACAGGAAATGTTAACAATTGCTTCCTTTTTTGAACAGTCTATATTTTAACTTTGATATGGAAATTATTTTAACTACTATAATATAATGTATCATCAGCACCTCTTTATTTAACAGGTGTCACTTTGCTGTCA